TCTAAAATTTCATGTAAATGGGATTATATAGTTTGTACTTTTTGTGTTTCAGGTCTTTGTTTTGTTTGCTTGTTTTGTTTTTTGAGACAGGCTGACATGTCCCAGGCTGACCTTGAATTTGTTATGTAGCTAACACCTTGAACACCTGGCTCTCCTGTCTCTACCTCCCAAGTGGTGGTATTATAGGCATTTTCCCACCACATCCAGCTTACGTTGTTTTCTTGGTATGTGTGTGCTGTGTATGTATCCAAATATGCATGTGAGTGCATGTGCCGACCAGAGTTGGACGTGTCTTCTTCCGTATCTCTCCTCTTATTTTCTGAAACAAGGTTCCTCGTTTAACCTGGAGCTTACCAATTCAGCTGACCAGTAAGCCCCAGTGACCCCTGTCTCTCTATCCCTATCGAAGGATTACAGGTACACGCTGCTCCGTGGATGTTTGGGATTCAGATTGAGCTCATTACACCTGTGACAGGCGCTTGACCTAGAATGATGTGTGTGCTCGTGTGTGCAGATTTTATGTGACTCATCAAGTATTTTAACAGAATAACAGCATTGACAGTGCTGCTGCCAATAGCACTGAGGTGTTTGTTCAGCAGTTGAAGGGCATTCGTGTGGTTCCAGGTGGGAGTAAAAGTTCTAAGACTGGGCATCATGGTGCTTTAATCCCAGCACTTGGGAGGCAGAGGCAGGGGAATCTCTTGAGTTCAAAGCCAGCCTGGTCTACATAGTGAGATCCTGTCTTAAAATAAAATGAAAAGTTTAGAGCAGGGTGGGGGCAGGAGGTGAGCATGAGGGGGTTGTGTTCAGTAGATGAAATGCTTGCAAAGGACCTTGATTTGATTGTCACATCCCCAGTTTAAAACAAAACAAAACAAACAAACAAGCAGAAAACATGCCTGTACAATACTGTACATATGTAATCCCAGTGCTAAGGAGATGGAGACAGTGGATCCCTATGGCCAGACAGGCCTACTCAATGGTAAGCTTCAGGCCAGTTAGAGGCCCTCTCTCAAAGAAGCTGCACTGTGTTCCTAAGGTTGTTCTCTGACCTTCACACACATATAGGCATCCCCCCCCACAAGAACACACATGTGCACTCTAAAAACGAATAGAAGTCTGTAAACACCCCCCCCCATTTCCTATTGTGGTGAAAGCGATTTTTAAGGACATAATTCAAGAATATATAGGCATGCACGACCAGCTTTCCAGGTTGATTATCAGTTGTGTCATTGATTAGATTAAGTTAGTAAAACAATTCAGTGATACAGTCACCTTATAATCATCGTTAACACTTAAGGCTTTTAGTACAATGTCTAGTTCCTTCTCAAAACATTTAGGTTTGTTAGTTTCACTTTAGAAGATAGATCCCTGATTGTTCTTTTTTTTTAAAGTTTTATTCTATGTGTATGGGTGCTTTGTCTGCATGTGTATCTGTGTTTCACATGGAGTGTCTGTGTACACCCATGGAGGCTAGAAGAGGGCTAGGTACAATGTCTTGAAGGAGGAGACTGCTGGCTGACTGCTGGCTGTGCTTGCTGTTGACGGAGATCAGTGTAGAGCCCTAAAAGAACTCTTCTACCTTAAACAGCAGGGAGAAGTAAAGGGGCCCTCTCTACCCACTTTTCTCTCATACATAGGGTTGGGAGATTGCAAGGGAGGTTGAGGCCTAAACACCCCAAATAAGGTAGAGTTTTAAAAACAAGCACTGGGTGTAAAGGTCAGAGTCATCATACCAGGCTATTTTGATTTGGTTTTTGAAACAGGGTCTTACTATTTAGCCTTCCAAAGCCTCCAGGTTGTTGGGATTAGGCGCGTTTGCCACTATACTGGCTGCTTCTCTTGACTCGATCACTGGAGAACATTCACTGGGTGAGTATTTGCTGAGTACTTTCTATCTGCAGGACTCTGCTGTGTTATGAGAGTGAAAGCTGCTACTGCACAAGCAGGCAGACTTCATTAATGAAATGACTGTGTAAATGTGCAAAGACACTTGTAAGTATAAAGGAAGGCCCTGGAGCTATGGGCATTATATCCTCTGCTGTTAGAAGAAAACTAACAGAAACTGGAGCTGGACGTTTTCAAGCCTGCAAGTGTCTTATTTAACTGGTTGACAAAACAAGAAAGAAGTGGGCCAACCCAATAGCAGATAATGTGACAGACATTATTTTGGACCCAAACCTTTGTCCTGAGATTAATGCTCCAAAAGGCAGCAGTAACCAAATCAAGACTTGAGAACACTTTGGAGGAGGCCAGGGTAGGTTCCTAGAATAAAAATTAGATTGTAAAGGTATCCATGGAGTTTCCGAACCAGCATTAAAAAGTCTTAGTTATCTGTGTTTAGTGTTTTGTTTTGGTGTTTTTTTTTTTTTTGTTTTTTTGTTTTTTTTTTCTGACAGAGCTTACTGTATATTCTAGGTGGGCTTTAAACAGTCGGCACTATCGGTTTAGAGAGCCTCCTGTGTCTGCCTCCTGAGCACTGGCTTACAGGTCTTGATGACACTTTACACAGGGCATGGCAGTGGCTCCAAGTATTTATTGAAAAACTGAGCATGTGTGCTTTCTCAGGAAGGCGTGTGGTGCCCCATATTGCCATAACAGGAACTGCAAACAGGTGACTCAGCACTACAGATTCTTCTCTCAGCTCTGGTAGCTGCTGGGTTCACCACACTGAAGTGGAAGTGTGGGCTGGGTTGTGCTGCTTCTGTAGGAGGAAGGGGTTGGCCTTGCCTGCTCCTGGTGGCCACTGGCATCACTCAGCTTGGGACTGTGTCACTGTGGTCTTTAATGTCAGCATCTTGACTCCCTCCCCTGTAACATCCCAGAACTTCACCTCTGCACATAGCTGCAGATTTATGTGAACTTATCAGTAGTGAAAGATGAATTGGAAGGCCTGGTATGGTGGCACATACCTATAATCCCAGCACTTAGGATGCTGAGACAGGAGGATATTGAGCTACATGGTGAAATCCTCTTTCAGTTAGGAATGGCAGGGCCCTATCAACTCCCGCTACAGGGCAGGCTATAGAAGACCATGGACAGCCAGCAGTGTCTCTGAAAGTTCCCATTAGTGAGGAGCTGGCTGCCACCCTTCAAGTTTCCCCCAGTCTCCACTCTAGGGCAGCAGGAGACATTGTACATTTCCTTTAAATTCTGTTAAGAAGATGGAATAAAAACTGCTCAGTTATGAACAGGGAGAAACAGGAGGCAGAGGCAGGTAGATCTACAGAGTGAGTTTCCACCCAGGGCTACACAGAGAAACCCGGTGGGGGGGGGGGGCAGGGAGAAAAAAGTAAATTCTAGTATTGGTTGTTTCATAAATTGGCTATTCAATGAATTGTCTGTCTGGCAAATTGGCTTCCTATGAACTGGCTGTTAGTGAAATCCATCTGCTTCCCTAAAAGCACTGAGCACTAATCCTCCTCTGCTTTCCACGCATTGAAGATGTGGCCATTATCCTGCAGGAGCTAAGACAGAGCAGAGCTCACAGGTTGGCACTGAGGGAGAAGAGGAAGAAAAAAGCAGTGGATGTTGGTTTCTTTAAACCAGCAGAAGTGTTGGTTTCTTTAAAAATGCACTTATGTTGTGTAAACATGTTTTTGTTTTAATCCCAAGTGTGGGATTTGGGACTGCCTTGGTTTGTCCACAGCTGATAATTGCCTCGTGTGGCACAGAGAGGGGCATGGTTTTTGCCAGCTGGAGTTAGTGGAATTCTGAGGATTCTGGGAGAGTATGATTATGAGAGCCCAGAGAGAGAAAAGGAAGGCTTTGAGGAGACAGGTGGAGGAGGAAGAAGGCTGCTTGTTCAGTCCACTGCTGTCATTTGCCATTTGCTGGACTGTTAGATACCCTGACAACTGAGATTGGTGTTTTCCCAAAGAATCTGACAATTCTAACCAGCTGGAAATCAATCTAAAGAGGTCTATGTCCCCTTTCCCTTCCTTCTCTCCTACCTAGGGTTGGGGTATTGGAAGGAGGTAGAAGCTTTAGGAACCCCAAATAAAGTAGTTTGAAAACAGCGCCTACATGAGGCTCCCTTAGCTTGAGTCCTAACTCAGTGGAACCCAGATGTGGGGCAGTAACTGAGTCTACTGGCCAGAGGCACCCCAGCAGCTGATCAAATGCTGTCCCCAGATTTAGCCTGCATAGGACAGCAGTGGAGTGCCAGACAGGACTTCGTATGTAGAGCCGCTGGGTGGAGAGTCACTGTGTGGGCTGCTCATGAGACTACATGTGCAGTGGTGTGTGTGCGCAGCACGCCCTATACAGGACTGTTAGCCAATGTTTCTACGATTGTTTTGGCATTATCATTGACACTATAACTTTATTGTGTGGCTGCTACCACTGCCTGGCACAGACATCTTTTCATTTAGTTCAAAACTGACTCAGTAATAAAAGTATCTGGAGACCTATTTTTGGAGGATCTCTGTTTTTTCAAAAATTGGAAGTTTGGCTTGGTGGCAGCAGCCCTTGGAAGCGAGAGGCAGGATGATAGGGGCTCAGAGTCAGCTTCAACTGTATGTGTAGTTCAAGGTGGCCCTGGGCTACACGAGACCATGTCTCAAAACAAACAACATAACCAAAACCAAATCTGATTCTGGTACTGACACCCATAGAATATCTCAGGGTAAAAATAGCTGGCTGACACCTCGTTCTTCTGTCTCCAGAAACAGAGATTAGCTGAGCAAGTCAGATTGCCAGGGAAGGGCCTGTGAATTAGAAAATGAATGTTTCAGGAACAGGAGATGTTCTGATGGAAACAAAAGCCCAAGGATAAATATGGAAGAGGCTGGGCATGGTGGTACACACTGAAGGCAGCTATACCAATAGGAAGGACATCTTACCCAGATTGTGCGTTCTGGCCTTCTATTAGCACCATGTGCTGGGTGCTGACACTGTCGCACAAACACATTAGGTGCCCAAGGATGTGGAAATGGAATTCCTTAGAAGTCTCAAAAACAAGGAAAAGGAGGAACATTCTAGGCCAAAGAACAGACTATGCAAAGGTTGGGAAGGAAATTTTCCAAATTACCGCAAACAGAAATAAACTTGTCCTTGAAATAAATTACACCCCAGCTCTCAGACAATGCAGTGAATAGTTCCGTGCTAGCAAAGGAGGAGTGGTGAGGAGTGGGCGTGGACTACGTCGACCCAGCCCAGGGAGAGGGCGGGATGCTACGCTGCTACTGGGAGCAAACCCCACCTCCCGGTCCAACTGTTGGGCGGGGAAGCCTTTCCAGGAAACGAAAGCGAACTCTGGGGAGCCATCTTAACGCCCCAGGTGCGGGCCTTGTCGGCACTATGTCTCAGGGGTTCAGGGGACCCGCAGGTAAGTCCGCGGGCTCTGCACCCTCGCATCCGGCTCGCGGAGCCTAAGTTGCGTGGGTTGTGTGCTCCCTCCCAAACCGAACTGCCTGCCCTTCTGGGGATTTGTATTCAGTTAGTTCCTTGAGCATTCTCAGGAATGGAAGATGGACATGGGAGAAGATAGACCTGGGTCTGAGCCGGATAAGGACCTAGGTCGAAGCAGACACCCCTTCCCCTTCTGCCCCAATGCCTCGTTGAGCCACTGTGGCCCATATGAGCAACCTTAGGGCCCTTCCTCTTTGTTGTCTTTCAACTTTCTGGAAAATTTAAATTACTGTCAAATAACTGGCAAGAGGTAGGGGCGAAGAGTCGGTTGTATTTATTATAACTAAGAAGGATGTCGGCCCACAGCTTATTAAGTAAGCTACAGTAGAGTTCTACTTAGCACTGAAGTGAGACGATCTTGTGCTGCCATACACAGTCCCAACTGCAGTGTTCTGAACAGAAGAATTCTCAGATTCAGAGGGTTCGTGCTGGGTAGAGCACTGTGACATTCTGGACAGCAGTGGGGTAGAAAACAGATACTTGGGTGCTGAGGACTGGAAATGGGGGAAAGGTTGAAGACAGAGGGGAAAGAAAACTTGGGTTAACTAGGAATGTTCTTTTTCTTGATTGGATGGTGCTGGTTTGTTTGTTTTTTTTTTAGACAGTTTTTATATGTTGTCTTGGCTGGAGCCACCTGTCTTTCCCTGCTAGTGGTGGGATTGGAGGCATGTCCTGTCCAGGTTTATACCCCACATTTTAAGCTATTTGGGATGAACCCATGGCCTCACACTTGATAGGCAAGTAAGTGCTCTACTATTGGGCTATAGTTCTAAAGGTGAGTGTGTGAGAGAGCTCATGTGCACACTCACTTTTAAAGCTTTTTTTCAGGGCATAGTGCCACACACCTTTAATCCCAGAACTCAGAAGGTAAAGGCAGGTGTGGATCTCTGTGAGTTCAAGGCTGGCCAAAGCTGTAGTGAGACCCTGTCTCCAAAAATTCTACCCCAAAAGCCAATTTTTAATTTGTGGATGTGCATGCACACGTGTTCCTGTCTGGAGGTCAGAGGACAGCTTCAGGATTGGGCCCTTCACCTTGTTTGAGATAGGGTCTCTTGTTGTTTCAAGTTGTTGGCCCCCAGACTTTTAAGAGTTTTTCTTCTGGGTCCCCTGTATCCTTGGAAGTCCTGCAATTACTGATGTTAATAACCACACATCAGACTTTTTCATGGGTTCTAGAGATTCAAACTCGGGTCCTTGTACAGTGAGTGCTTTACACACCAAGTCACCTCCCTAGCCCTTAATCTGGTATATTAGAAAATACTTTGCTGAAAACACTAAGGGCTTGTTTTGGTTACCTAAAAGCACCTGGCTTGCGGGAAAAGCATTTTTACATATACTACAGTATTGGCCTGTGGTGCGTGTGTGGCAAAGACAAAGGACCACATGCTGGTCCTACTGATGAGAGCCAGGGTCAAAATGGTGTTCGGAGGACCAGCTTAGCTGTCAGGTGACTTGTTCTGTGATGTGCCTGAAGGTGAGAAGCAGCGACTGAGGGGCTTAGGAATGCTCAGTCCCATGAAGTGACTGTCTGCAGCTGTTCTCATGGGCATTGTTTTTTTGAAGGCTTTTAGGGGTAAGAAGACTGAATAGACAACTCTTCTTCTAGTCCCACCTTCTCAAAATAACTCAGTAAATTCATTACAGTCTTGTTTCTTCTGTGCTCATTCTACTGTGTATGCATACATGCTCTCTCTCCCTCATGGACTTTCCTTTTTTCTTAACAGAAGAGAGTGTAGCATTACACTTTTCTGCCACTTACACTTTTAACATCTACCCATTTTTTTGTAGTCAAAATGCAAATGTTCCATAGCGTGAGTCTATGGCAATTTATTCAACAATTATGTAGCTCATATTTGCCAGATTTTGACTGAAAATAGCCATGTAAATCAAGAATTTATTTCGGGCTGGAGAATGCTCAGCAGTTCAGAACAGTGGCTGCTGTTGGGTCACCCTGTCCAGTTCTGGGAGTTCTTTGACCTCTGTGGGCAATAGGCACACATGTGCAAAACACTTACACACATAAAATAAAACAAGTCATCTTTAGAAAGATATCTAGAAACTAGTTTTAAGCTCTTTGAAACAAAAATGTCTTTTTTCCAATTTCACTCAAAGAGCTAATCAAAAATCTCTGCCACAGTCCCCATTATTGAGCTGCATGATTGGACCACTTATTCTGCACTGTGACACCTCGTCCCAAGTCCTGTGGGGTAAGGCGTGTAAAGATGGCCTTGTTTGTACAGACTTTAGTTCAGTAAGTGCTGCTCAGCACTATGTAGCCTCTTGTAGAAAATATTTACTGGGTACCAGAAAAGAGTTCCAGGGTTTGATGGCTTAGCATTGACCCAAGTTACATCATAGTGACATTGGCAGGATCACGAGACAAAGCTCATGTGGCTGAAAGGTGAAGATGGAGCCAAGGGACCCATGGTCAGATACCACACTAGTGATTAGGATGGTGAGATCCCCAATCACTGTAGGGTGGGAGCAGAAGGCTGGGCCGGCTCTCCTGTAGCTGTCAGGAGACTCAGAGAAAGGCTGCGAATGCATCAGAAACGTTACTACATTGTTTTGCTCCTGAGTTTGCAAGCATGGGGAAGGAAAGCAAAATGCTGCAAGCATTACCACTGCTCCAGCAGGGTGTTTGTGGGAAGCAGTCCATGGATGCTGCCTCTGGAGGTAGCTGGGGAAGGTAAGAGGTCCACTGGAGGTGTTGAGTACACCTGTTGCCTGTTTCCAGGGCAGGGTAAGCCAACTGAAGAGAGAGGACCACATGCCATTTTTAGACCACAACTCTTAGCTCTCCTATAACCAAATTCTGGTTCTCCAGGGTCAGTAATGGCTGACAGATAAATCTTTGAGGGTCCTTTAGTGCATGAAGATGACTCCTGCTGTTACATTCCTCCTTCAGCTGGGAGAAGGAGGTACACTTACTTTAGTTTCATTTTGTCTTAAATACCATTCGTCAAGATCATCCACATGACAAGGTTCTAGAGACTAACTGTTTTCTGTATTGGAGAGGTTGATCTCACACTCCAAGTCCTGTTATTCTCCCCACTTTCAGGGGTTTGTTTGTTTGTTTCTAAATTACCATTTGCTTATTTTTCTATTTTTACACACATTTATTGTTTGCTTGTTTATGGGGTGCATATGCCATCCTGTATAGTGGTGATCAGAGGAAAGTCAGTTCTCTTCCATCACTTGGATATTCAGGTTCAAGGTCAGGCAAGTGCCCCTAACCCACTGAGCCACTTTTTGGCTGTATTTTTCTAGTTTTAGGAAGGCAATTTGGAGGTGAATGGAAAATATATATTTATATATTTGTTCTTCCCTCAACTCCCTGTTGAAAGGGAGTTAAGTTGCTGGAGGTCTTGCTGAGGTATCTGAATTTGTGTGCCTTGCTCCCTCTGTGTGTCCCCTGATGAGCTGCCAAGAAGTAGCCAATAGTGGGCTAAGTCACCTTAGTGAGATCACAGGCCACAGTTTGTCAGCTACCCTGCCTGTTAGAAATCAGGAACAGCTTCCCCAGCAGAAATGGGAGGGTTCATGTGTAGCTCTAACTCAAGCTCTGTTATCCTCCGTGTTATCTTCTGCAGGAGTGTTTCCTCACCAGACACAGCCCTGCTTGGACCCCAGCTATGAGCATAGCAAGTGGAGATGTCCACAGCCACACAGGCCCGAATTTCACCCTAGGAGCTTCCAGCTCCAGCAGATAGACTTTCTCAAAGGGCGGCTCCCAGAAGCATCCCTGATTGGTCAGCAGAGCCAGTCACTGCCACCATATCTCCCAGGACACTGGCCAAGGTTGCCAGGACCGCCTGCCCAAGGCAAGCAACTGGAAATCTGGGGTTTCCCCAGGAGTGTGACCCTCAGAAGTCAGGGGTTCCATATAGGATCCCCAGTTCCTTCCCCACACAGTGGGCCTCTGCCATGGAGAGGTGCTGACAGGCTTTGCTCACACTTCCGGGAGCTGAGCATTAGTCAGAATCCAGAGCAAAAAGTCCTAAGCCGCCTGGAGGAGCTTGGTGAGGGGAAGGCCACCACTGCCCAGGTACTAGCCAGAGAGCTCAGGGTCCCAAAGAAGGACATCAATCGAATATTGTATTCTCTGGAAAGAAAGGGGAAGCTGCATAGAGGAGTGGGGAAACCTCCTTTGTGGAGCCTTGTGCCCTTGCATCAGACTTGGACTCAGCCCTCTAGAGCTGAGAATTCAGACACTTGTAGCCAAGAAGTCCCTCGAGGAGAAGAACCTGGTCTGGACAGTGAGTACAGAGACCCTGCCTCTGACTTAGAAGGACCTTCTGAGCCTTTTGATATGGCTGAGATCAAGGAGAAAATCTGCGACTACCTGTTCAATGTGTCAAACTCCTCTGCCCTGAACCTGGCTAAGAACATTGGCCTTGCCAAGGCCCGAGATGTGCATGCAGTCCTGATTGACTTGGAAAGGCAAGGTGATGTCTACAGGCAAGGAGCCACGCCCCCCATCTGGTACTTAACAGACAAGAAGCGTGAGAGGCTGCAGATCAAGAGGAACACACAGAGTGTCCCTGCAGCTGTCCCAGCTGCTGTCCCAGAGGGCACTAGAAGCACCTCATTCCCCATGTGCCACTCACCCCCATCAGGTGCCTCAAGTGGCATGGCAACCCTCAGAAGAGTGGAGAATGGGCAGGAGCCTGTAGTAAAGTATGAAAGTAGGCATGAGGCTAGACCAGGACCAGTGAGCCTGAGGCCACATGCTTATCACAATGGCCCCTGTAGAACAGGGTATGTTGACTCTGAGAATGGCCAATGGGCCACAGATGACATCCCAGATAACTTGAATAGTATCCGTACAGCACCAGGTGAGCTTCGAGCCATCATGGAGATGCCCTCTTTCTACAGCCCTGCCTTGCCACGGTGTTCACCCTACAAGAAGCTAACTGAGTGCCAGCTGAAGAACCCTGTCAGCGGGCTGTTAGAGTATGCTCAGTTCACTAGTCAGACCTGTGATTTCAACCTGATAGAGCAGAGTGGACCGTCCCATGAACCTCGGTAAGCTACCACCCCAGAATTGTGTGTAGCGTTCAGCCAGGACCCTGGCTCCTGCCCTGTCTCAGCTCACTTGTGCGTGGTATAGGTGGCGCCTATCTTTTGCCTTGTTTCTTTTCCATCTTTTGGCTAAATCATCCTTGATTGGTCCTTTCTCTAAATGCTAATCAGGGATGCTAGACCTCAGGATAGCCAGAATCCTGGCTGAGCACAGGGAGGCTGATTCTCTTGGCTGAAATTAACTTCCTTAGAGATGACCAGCTCTTGTGCAGCCACACCTGCCTTCTAAGGCCAGAGGTAACAACATTACTTCTGTCCCCATCACCACCAAACTGAAGTTCCAAGAGCAGCGTAGGAGCAGGCGGGCTGGGGTGGGCTAAGCTGGCAGACAGCAGCAAGTGTATTCCCACCCCAGCCTCAGCTGGGAGGGGAAAAGGGTGGAGTCAAGTACACAGAGCTGCCTGCTAGTCTTACAAGGTGGCACCTCTGGTTTTAGACCCTCTTCTGTACAGGTAGGTGAGTTGCACTTGCTGTTGCTGCTGAGCCAAGAAGTCAGAGGTTGTTCCTTCTCTCAGACAGCTGACCACAACCTTCCTAAGACTACAACCCTTTAATACAGTTCCTCATGTGCAGGGACCCCAAACCAGCACATTATTTCATTGCTACTTCATAACTGTAATGTTGCTACTGTAATGAATGAATCATAATGTAAATATCTGCTGTGTGGGATATTTTATCTGCCACGCCTGTGAAGGGTTGAGTTGTTCAACATCCGAGTGGGTTGTGACCTCCAGGTTGAGAACCAGTGCACTATGGGATTGTGTACACCAGGAAACAGACTGCAGAAGCTAGGTGGACAGAGGAAGGAGATACTGAAGTGTCTGTCAGATGGCTGAAGCCACGGAGGCTGAGTAGCAGCAAGTTATAGCTAGAGAGACAGAAGAGGATAGCTACTTCCAACGTGTCTACAACCTACGTCATCTAATGAGTAATGACACTGAGTAATGACACTGTTGGATGATTTCAGCACTGTTGGACATTGAGTGTACTTAGCAGCTAAGACAAGGCCTTGTCAAGTACGTGCATGTGCCAGGGTGCTCATGTGAGGTCAGGGAACAGTTTTCCTTAGTCTGTCTCTCTCCTGTCATGGGCTTTAGAGCTTGAGTTCAGGTTGTCAGGCCTGAGCAACAAGGTGCTTTTTACCCACTGAGCCATATCGAAGCCCAAGGCAATGCAATCTTATGGGAGAGCTGGTGTCTGCATAGCTCATTGTTGGCTCAGATGTCACTGGCCAAAACATGGGTAAGTGGTACAGAACTGTTATCAGTCAGGCTGGGTCTTGGGGCAGAGTTTTCCAAGCAGTACCTTGCTTCTTCTTTAATTTCCTTAATGATACCAACTTGACACTGCAGGAGAACTGCTAAAGGGGCTATGTCTATCCCCAAACTGGCAGAGCCAGGACATGTTTCTGTTTGGACTAGCTAGCATTCTTTCTTTTACCACCACCATCCCTCCAGAGAGTTGAGGGAAAGCTGTGGGTTTTGCCATTAATCATTCTTTGTACTTCATCTGTGTTCTATGAAACACAGATGCTGCCAGGTGTGGTGTCATATGCCCATAATCCCAGTTCTTAGGGGACTGAGGCAGTGCTGAGAGTCAGGTTAGCTTGGGCCATTATATAGTAAGACTGCCTCAAAAGGGGGGAAAAGTGAAAAACAAAGCAAAAAACCAAACACTGATGTTATATTCAATTGTTTTTGAATACCTAGGAAGTAAGAGATTTGACCTCTTTCTCTGAATGAAATAAAATCCAGCCTGAGTTATTTAAGAACTTAAGGCTTGAGCAAAGGATACTGAGGCGAAGGCCAGAGGTCTAGGACAGAATGTTGTGGCTTTCATCCCAGACCTGGGACAGAGCTGTAGCATAAGCGCTCCGAGGAGGACAGATTGGTACAGTGACCTGGGACACACTCCCCACCTAAACTGCAGGCGAGCAGAGGTGGGTCTTTATCTACCCCTTCCTCACCCTCCAGCCTCCTCTTCCTTCCCTCTTACCACCTACCAGCTCCCTGCCACAAGCAGGCATCTGCTGTGGGTGTCTGGGAAATGTGAAAAAGAGTGCAACAGTTCCTTCCTTGTCTTTGAGGACCTCTGTGAAGGAGGCCAATCCACACAGTTGTGCTAGCATAAGGCCTGTCCAGCCATCTGGTTTATGCACTTGATTATTTTCATTAAGAAATGATAGCCAACACGCCTGCCACCCTAGCACTGGGAGGCAGAGGCACGAGGATGTCTAGTTCAAGGCCAGCCTGGGCTACAGTACAAAACCCTGTGGGCCAGCAAAATGGCTCAGGAAGTAAAAGCACTTGCCACCAAGCTTGACAATTTGAGCTCTGTCCTCTGAACCGATGTAGTAAAAGGAGAGAGCTGGCTCCCACAGGCTGTCTCTGACTCTACACGTTTGCACGATCACAATAGATTTTTAAAAAGACACCACTGTGTGTGGTGGTGCACACCTTTATTACCAGCACTCAGGAGCCAGAGACAGGAATATCTCTGAGTTTAAGGCCAGCCTGGTCTAGATATTGAGCTTCAGGACAGCCAAGGCAGTGTAGAGAGACCTTGAAAGGTACTCAGTCTAGCAGAACATTGTGGGGTTTAGAAGGCACAGAAGTATGACCCTGTGTGAACCTACTGTTCACACATCTAATCATTGTCCACCAAGATTTAAATTCCAGGTTGTCATCAATGGTCGAGAGTTTCCCGCAGCTGAAGCTGGCAGCAAGAAAGTGGCCAAGCAGGATGCAGCAATGAAAGCCATGGCAATTCTGCTTCGGGAAGCCAAGGCCAAAGACAGTGGACAACCAGAAGAATTGTCGGAGTATCCCATGGAAGAAGACTCAGAGAAGGTGGGTGATCTCCCTGAGGAAGGTACCCTTGCTGTTGTATATCAGGATTTAACAGACACTGGAAGCTGTCCTGGTTGAGACAGTCAACACTACTCTGAGGGAGTACCCCTACCTTACGCTATGTCCTTCCTTCCTTCCTTCCCCTTCCCTCATAGCCAGCCCCCTACCCAACTTGCCCTGGTCTAACTGTATTTGTAGAATGTCAGAGCTGATGGGACCATATCTTAGTCAGGGTTCTCTGGAGGAACAGAACTTACAGAACAGATAATTAAAAGAGGATTTCTTAGATTGGCATGCAGCATGGTCAAGTGGTCTAAAGAGGCCTATTTCATAGCTGAGAGGCTGAGCAGTTGCTGAGTCTTTGAGGCTGGGTGCCTTGGCTGTCCCAACCTGGCACTGACTGCCTGAGCTGTTCTTCTCGGAGAGCTGCTCTATGCCCAAAGAAGCTGCTTCTAAAATGAGGGAGGGAAGCAGAAACAGTGCAGATGAACTCCTCAGTGAGAGTGAAGGGCAGCCAAGCAGAAAAGCAAAGCTTCCACTGCCCATGCCCCTTAATCTGGGCTGCCAGCACTTAGGGTAGGTCTAAGCAATCAGGACAATCTCTTATGTGTGCCCACAGGCCAGTCTGATGCAGACAGCTCCTCACTGAGGCTCCTTTCCTAGGATTTTGTGTGTCAGGTTGACAGTTAAACTAACCACCACAAACCTTGAATCTACTCTCCTCTCTTAACAAGTAACTCAAACCTTTCTGTCCCCACAGCCCCTCCTTTGGAAGGCCACTCCTCACATTTAATTGTCTAAAAGAAATTCTTGGCTGTATCTGGTGACTCTGTGATTGCAGCACTTGGCAGGCTGAGGCAGGATGGCCTTGGGTCACTGAGGAGACACTGTTTCAACAAGCCAGGAGTGGGAGATAAAGCCTCAGGCTCCGCACCTCCCTCTGCTAGGAGGAACTGAGGAGGGTATGCTTTGTGTCGGTGTTGTGTCTTCTGATGTCTCCTTCTCTTTTCTTCAGTCAGCAGAGTTCCAGCCCCCCAGCTCCGCAGCAACATCCTTATTCTCTGGGAAGAGCCCAGTTACCACACTGCTTGAGTGTATGCACAAACTGGGGAACTCCTGTGAATTTCGTCTCCTGTCCAAAGAAGGCCCTGCCCATGACCCCAAGTATGTTTTATGTGTGGTGTCTCCTGTGGAGGTCTTCCCCAGAATAGGAAACACAGTCCCCCCGGCAGCCTCAGAGATGAGAAGTTGTTTCTCTGTATGGTCTCTCCTGTTGCAGTTTGGAAAGGGGCCTTCAGGGCCTGGCTGCTGCTATGAAGCAGAGAATCTGGGATTAGAAGTTCAGAGGGACCGAGGACTAGGTAGGGTCACAGCGTGGAGAGTGTGACGGTGACTGTTGGGGCAGACAGGATGAGGACCTGGGCGTGCTTTAGCAGCTCCCTCCTTGGGGGTTCTGTGCACATATTTCAAAAGAAGGCTTCCCGAAGGGGGTGAGACTCAAATGGCCCTTGCATGTTAAGAGACACTGGGGGCAGGAGATGGGTGGGGACACTGGCTGTCCAAGGCCACTTAGAGGTGATGTGTGTTAAGAGCTATAAGCAGTGGAGAGTGGCAGCCTGGCAAAGGTGAGGTGGATCCCGCAGCCCAGCCGTTGTTATGCTTTGCCCATCATTTCCCCTAAGGTTCCAGTACTGTGTGGCAGTAGGAGCGCAGACTTTCCCCACAGTGAGTGCCCCCAGCAAGAAAGTGGCCAAGCAGATGGCTGCAGAGGAAGCCATGAAGGCTCTGCAGGAGGAGGCAGCCAGCTCAGCGGATGACCAGGTGGGCATTGTCCTGCTCAAGTGACAGGTCATCGTTCACAACCTGGGCAGGTAGGGGTGTCTGAGTCCCTGTGAGTTTTCTGACATGTCACTGGTTCCTCTCTGGCTAATCCCTCCCTTAGTCTGGAGGTGCAAACACCGACTCAGCCGATGACTCTGTGGTTCCCAGCAAGATCAGGAGGATTGGTGAGCTCGTCAGGTACCTGAACACCAACCCTGTAGGCGGCTTGTTAGAGTACGCCCGCTCCCACGGCTTTGCTGCGGAATTCAAGCTGATTGACCAGTCTGGACCTCCTCACGAACCCAAGTGAGTGTCTCAGTCCTGGCTACAACCATGTGTCACTGGGGGAGGGTGTAACCTCAGAGAAAGAAATGCTGTACATACTAACCGTGGATAACAGGAAGGCAAGAAGTCTGAATAGCCTAATTTAGGACGACATTAAGATCAGCTGTCTTAGGAATCCAGTCACTGTTCAGTGAGTGTGAGCTTTTAGTTTTATGAGCTAATTTTAGTTTCATACAAAAATCATTCAGGTGGTTGAAAAGTATTGAAAGAAAAGTTTAATTTCTGTCCCTTTTCAAGTACTTTCTGTAAACACAGGCCAAGTGCACCTGCTTCGTTCACCCTGGAAGCACTGATCTGCAGCCTGGTATTCACCCAGAAGTATTATCTTGGAGAGTTTGCTTTCTTCTTACTTATTTATTTTTATTTCGTGTGTGTGTTTGCATGAATGTCACCATGTACATGCAGTGCCTGAGGAGGCCAGAAGAGGGTGTCCCTTAGAACCCAAGTTACAGACAAGATGGTTGTGAATTACCATGTGGATACATACTGGGAATTGAACCCAGATCCTTTGGAAGAGCATCCAGTGCTCTTAACCACTAAGCTATCTCTCCAGCTCCCCTTAGAGAGCCTTCTATATCACTCTATATTCTGTTTTTACTTTCATTTTTCTTAGACCCACTCTCACTATGCAACAGAGGCTAGTCTTGAATTCTCTTCCTACCTCAGCCTCCCAAGTGCTAGGTTTATACATGAGCACCATCACATCCAGTTTCATCAGACTTCTCCGCATTCAGCAATAAGCCACTGGGAAGTAGAGTGGACGAAATCACCCTCCTACAGTACAGCCAGACCAATGAGGAAGCACAGACCTGCTAGGTGGAAGTATGTGAGTGAATGATGTTAGCGCCAGTGGAGGGTAGGAAGAGTGGACGGCCTACTGGCTGGCCAGGGTTCTTCATTTATGTGTGAGCGGTCAGCAAACCCAGGGCCGTGCACCAACCAAGCAAATATTCAACGAAGCTGCATCCCATTCCATGAAGATCCTTTTAAAAATAGCTGTCCAAATTAAGCTTCTTACTTCAAACTTCAAACACTATTAAAAAAAAAAAAATCACCAATAAAATTTATTTTAGAACTAGAAAACTTGATTCTGAGTATTATCAAAATTAAGTATTTAAGGATAGCCAAGAAGGAGTAGGTGTGGCGGTGCATGCTTTTAAGCCCAGCACTCGGGAGACTGAGGCATGGGTCTGTGAGCGACAGCCAGAGCTGTGTAGAGAGATCCTGCCTCAAAAAAAAAAAAAAAAGAGTAGCTAGGAAAAAGAAGTCATGAGCATAGGGACCCAGCAGAAGTTAGCACAGTGGGAACTAGGGGGTGGCTGTGCAGGCACAGCAGTGGCATATGTGGGAGTACCTGGAAGAGCTTCGTGTGGGCTTCTGCCTGCCCCTTTTCCTGCACCGCAATTCCAAACAATCCAGATTTATATGGGAAATCAATGAAATCCAGTAATCACTAGCTAGAGGGCAGGGATGTTTCTGGAATCATCCATAAAACAAAGTCATAAAGGAAAAGTCTTGGGAATTTGACAGTAAGAAAATTGGTGCATAGTAAAAAGGACCACCTAAGAAAAAATACACACAGCCACCTCAGGACTAAGTTATTTAACATGTACAGGTTCTGGAGAACAATAAACAGGCAAAGCGTGGCATCTGTGTGTTCACAGATAGAAACATTATCAGTAGATGAAAAGGTACTAGATAGCACTCTTAACACTGTGTGCAGAGCTCTTTATCAGGGTCAGAGCCTGTAGTCACTAAGGAAGTGTGAGGTCACATTCACTAAGTCTTGTGGAAGGGCTAACCTCCATAAGTAAAGCTCTGTTGTGACACAGCTCAACTCCGTTGGGAGCAGGCTTCTCCCAGGAAGTGATGCCTGAGAGACAACAAAAGGTTTCAGGACAGGGGACAGGCAACCTGCGTCTACTAGAACTGCAACCATTGACTTAACCAAGTGGGGACTGAATTTCCTTTTGATTGCGTCTGGATATACTCTTCAGTATCACCTCACGCACATAGTTGTGCTGCACTGAACACAAGCAGAGACTTTTTACTCCCTGAGCCAGCTAAGGCAACAGCTCCTTACACTGCTTCCACAGTGTTGTGCATCGTAAGGAGCGAGAGATGATGTAGGCACGCCGATGAACGCTCATGGCTTATCTGCAAACACCATGCCATTTTATATCAAGAACTTGAGTGTTTGGTGATTCCTCTGTCCTTGGGGAGTCCTATAACCACTCCCATGGACACCAAGGGACAACTGTGTATCTCCTGTGGGGGACAGAGCTGGTAAAGGGGCTGAGATGGTTTGGTGGGTGAGCAGGGAGTAAGGGTAGGGCAAGCCTGATAGCAGCTTGGGCTGCCCACAGGGCCTGCCGTGTTGTTAACGCTTTACCGTAAAAGCAGCGTAAAAGCAGCGGGAGGTCACTAAAGGCTCAGGTGCAGCACCACATTCTTGACGTCTATCAGCACTTTTCTGCTGAACTTTGTTTTTCACTTTGAGAGAACGCTTCAGATTTCCACAAAAATCACTGTTAACTCTCAACTGATAATTTTACTTCCCACTTCAGAAAACAGGAAAAACTCGATCTTCCCCAGACTGAGCCACCTGCCTGCCTTGCATTTATTGGGAAGGATGAAGGGAGCCTCCTTCCTCCTAGCCCAGGGCCTGGTCCCCTCCCTTATGTATTTGAGGGTTGATTGTTTCCTTCCTTCTTTTTCCTCCTTGCCTCTCCCTTGCAACCTGCCTAGGCTTATTGACCTCAGCTTGTACACAAACCCTTAACCCATCTTCAAGAGACCTTATCTTGACCTTGTTTCCCCTCTAGGCTCTACCCCATCTCTCTGCTCCTTTAGACACCAGGCATCTCAAAAGGACTGTTTATAGTTACTCCCTCTGAGGGCTGGGTCGATGGTTGAGCAGTTGAGAGTCTGCTTCCACTGAGTACTCTAGTGCCCAGTTAGTTCCCTGCTCCCTCAAGGCAGCTCAGAACCACCTGTCACTCCACCTCCCGGGATCCAGCACCCGCTCTGGCCTTCCAAGGCGCTGCACATGCACAATAAAAATAAAATAAATTAAGTCTTCTGCTGAAAAGCCTATGCATTGGCAGAATGTAGTTACTGAGTACTGGAAATGTAGCTAGAGTGACTAGGGTCTGAATTAGTCAGATGTGAGCTTTTAATTCTTAACATTTAGTAGCCTTGTGTGGCTTGTAGCTTCCATATTAGAAAGCACAGCTCTAAAGGATTTTACTCTCATAATTAACAAGCTTAATCACATACATACATGAACGTTATCTGTACAAGGGGTCATCCTTTCCAAAGACAGAATGATCACAAAGTCGTGGTCTCCAGAGGCGAGGCTTTACAAGTTACCCTACTTACCCAGGCCTTTTCCTGAAGTCCTCACTGTGAGTCTGAATTTTGCCCACTGACAAGAGGGATCTGCCAGCATGGACAAAGAGAGGAAAGGAGGCATTCAGCTACTTAGTAATGAAAGGGCAGTGGCATTCCGTGTGGGTGGCAGAGGCTGGGCTGGGCCCTAAGCACCAGTGAATTACCCAGAGCTAAGTCTGCTACAGGATCTGGCTAGGATTCCAGAAAGCTGGTAGGTTTCCAAGCTGCTGTGCTCTGGCTTCCATCAGGATTGGTGGGAACCTGCCCTAGGAACAGTGGGGGCCCTTCCCTACTTCAGAGCCCATGGTCCATTTCCTCCCCATCCCCCCACTCTCCCATGGCCATCTCAAGCCTGCTGGAAAGCTTGGGAAAGCTTGGCTTCCTGGCCTTAGGCAGACCTTGTTGCAATTACCTTCCCAAGGTTGTCAGGACGAATACAAGGAAACAAAATTGGATGCTCTAAAAAATCAGATAATGAGCTGGGTGAGGTAGCGCACCCCTGTCATCTCAGCACTTGGGGAGGCAGAGTAGGGGGATATCTGTGAGTCCAGCCTGGTCTACAAAGCAAGTGGAGGGCAGCAAGGCTGTACAAAGAAACCCTGTCTCAAAAAACAAAACAAACAAACAAACAAAAAGGGGGGGGCGATGCTGGAGAGATGGCTCAGTGGTTAAGAACATGTACTGCTCCTGCAGAGCACCTGAGTTCAAGTCCCAGCACCCACATCAAGCAGCTTGCAGCTGCTTGTGACTAGCTCCATGAAGTTAGGATGCCTAACTTCAGGCTCATGCACATATACAGGCCTACACATGTACATGTAAATTAAGAATAATATTTTTTAAAAACAGAACAAAACCATCAGACAGGAATACAGCACAGTAGTAAGACACTTGCTTGGCCTCCATGAGGTCCCAGTCTTGAAGTTAGGGGATCTGAGAGTGCCAAATACCTGGTATATGGCAAAGACAGTTATCCCTCCATTTTTACTGGAGAAGAGACCTTTTTTATTTGAGTGGGAGTGGGGTGCAAATGTCATTCCTCAGTCACCATCTGTTTCTTTGTTTGTTTGTTTTGTTTTTACTTTTTGTTTGTTTTTAAATTTGGAGATAGGATTTCTCATTTGGCTTAGAGCTTACTGACCAGACTACGTTAGCTAGTCAGCAAGCCCCAGGGATCCAAGATGGAGTTGAGGTGCCAAGCCAGACTTTTTTTGTGTGTGGTGTGGTGGTGTGGTGATGGTGGTGATGGTGGTGGTGTGGTGGGTGGTGGTGTGGTGCTGTGGTGTGGTGTGGTG